ATACTAAACCTCAAATATCGGAATCGGTATCGGAAGTAAAAAAAGTGGATCGGTGCATCCCTACTCTAATCGCGCTTGAGGCGCCGCAGAACTTCCCGACGTTGCTTGAAGCGCGTCCACCATAGACTTTGCATGTAAACCTGCTGCTCCTGACGCTGAAATCGCGTTCGGTGTGAACGCACCATTAAAAACACCCAGATTTTCATCCAAGGTCTTAAAGGGACAATATCATGTAAAATCAACTTTTTTGAGTTTTATATCTTGTTATAATGTTATACTCTCATAAAAAACATGCCCAAAGCCTTGCTTTGACTCATTCATGCATGTCTGAGAAATCCTGCAGTGTTTTTAGGCAGCCATGCTGAGGAGCAAAACGACAGGTGGGGACCAGAAACGCCTCTGGGACGTGTCTTTAAGTTGAGCTTCCTCATGGCAGAGCGCAAAAGGTTCTATGTTAAAATTTCTGGGACAATTTGAATGTTTCGGCTAATGCGTCGGTTCATTCTTAAATGTCATTCTAATGGTCTTAAAAGGTCTTTAAAAGGTCTTAAATTTTACTTGCTGAAACCTGCATGAACCCTGGTTAATAATTTGGGTTTAGCTCCAGTATCTGTACTTGTAATTGCATTTTATTTAACATCTCATTGCAGTCAAAAATGTTATCAACTAAGCTGCTAAACATGCATTTAAAAATAAATTCTTTGGCCCGTGATAAGGTGGAAGGTGGTTCTTAAAGAGACAGAGGCCAATTTCAAGGCGTTTAGAAGAGGAAGTGATGAGAAGATAAGTTTATTTTCTATTTAAAGCGTTTTAATAACAACTAAAGGTGACATAGATACTTTATTATGGTATAGTAATTAAATGTATGCCTGAGAAACACATAATATTGCCCCTTTAAACCTTTATTTCACCAGGAAAAACCCATTGAGATTAAGAATCTCTTTTGAAGGGAATCCTGGCAAAGACTGGAACTCCAGTGATGGAGTTTGGAAATTTATCACGGACCAAAGAATTTATTTTTAATCTCTATTTATTTTCGGGGTTTCATCGGCCACATAAGTAGTCGCCTACAAAATGGGACAGACTGCGGTGTGGTGCGGTGACCTAAGCGGCCAACAATTGCGCCCTAAGTGGGCTGCAACTCGTGAAATGAGACAGTCAGATTTTCCAAACTTAGGTTGTTCAAAGCGATATCTACAACAGGTAGAAACTTTGAATCGTTTTGAAAACAGGAGAAAAAAATTTGGATAAGGTGCTTATGTTATTTTTAAAAGTGCGAATAAAGCTTGTGACACTGTAATGAACTCTACAATAACTTTGCAGTTATCAACAGTGTTGCATTTAAAGGCTTTTCTTCTGAGAGCTGGTGGCTTTGTCTGTCTTTTGTATTCAATAGGTGGCTGTTTTTTGTTAAAAAAAAGACAATATTTCTAAAAACTTTGATTAAAACACTAACAGAAGTCGTCTCTTGCTTCCTTGCATCTATTCCAAACTTAACCGATAAGCAGAAACATTTTCAAGCTCCTAAATTGATATTCACCCAACATGTGGGTTTGGATTTTCTTTTGAGGAAGATTAATCATGCTTAAGGCGACTCCTTTGTTTGTTCTCAAATTAATTTTTATGCTTTAAAGTGAGACATCTAATAAAAAGGCAAACATTGTGTTTGGGGAAATTTGCATTTAGACCCAGTGCTTATTAAATTCAAACCTTGATTTCCAGTTCATTCAGGGATAATACACTTTTCTTGCTTTTTTACTGTTTGTAGGCTGAACCATTTGCGGTGCGGTAACGAGTTCCACCTGTTTGCTTCTTTTTTTTTGCAGTCGACCTGCTTGGCCTGCTTAAGTGGCGCTCCAACACCAGCCTCCTCCAGCAGAACCTCTGTCAGCTGATGAAGGTGGAAGGTGGCGAGGTGGTCAAGGTCAGTACATGTTATTGGCGAACGTGAGTTCTTCCCAGACGTCGTGCCCTTGAAAAAAACGCCCGTCGTTCCTGCTTAGTTTTGATACAGATTTACATAAACGGATAAAGTATCTCGACAGCTGGCGACATAAACAATTCAGTCCCAAAATGATTCTTAGTAATCCTTACAGCGACAGCTTCCTGGCAGCGATTTCTCTGTGTGTCAAAGGAAACAGGTTGCTGTTTGATGTCTCCTAGTGAGGAGGGAGCATGTAGTACCACACACCGCTTACAAAAGGGAAGAAGCCAACAAGCCGTTTAATGGTTCAGCGTGGCGCACATAAATGAACCACTTTTATCAAGAAAGTTTCTTGCGTGGGCTATTTAAGTGCCTTGCAAATCACAATGTATTTGTAGAAATCCATTTATCTGACCCAATCAAAGCAGCCAGATAGACGTGTCAATCACCTCTAACTCACTACGTAGGTGTCGTAATTATTACCACCACATTAGCACTCAGTCTTTTCCAAGCATCTTGAGGCTTTCAGCAGCCAATTARATAACACATTTGACTTGATATTTATAAAAAAAAGGCTTTTCTTGGCAGCGGTTTGGACATTTAGAAGCAAACCTTGGATAATAGATTAAAAAAGCAAACAAGTTAGGATTTTAACCTGAGAAGTCCTTTGTTTTTTACAGCTTTAGTTTAAAACCTCAAACTGCACGTTGTGTTCATTTCTCACCAACATCTGTTTTGAGACGACATGGCTGTGTTTTTGACACGCTTACACCTTTATTTATTTTTTAACTAATTAGAGTGCATGTTTCCTTTCCTTCAGAGTAGGCACAGGTGTAGTTGGTGTTTGTGGACRTGCAGCCGCTGACAGGGAAATTATTACTGTTTGAGCAGAATCAGACTGGTTCGTGTGAACAGCTGTAAAACGTGTGCAGCGGGGAACGTGTTGCACTGTAATTTTTAGGTTCACGTTTGCAGGGTTCAGAAATAGGCTGCAGCACGACACATGAGACTTTTTCCAGGCGTTCCAAGTTGATGGTCTAACTAAAAACCTCTTAATGCCCATTTCACACGGCGATAATATGAAACTGTCAGCTCATTGTCAAAGACTGAGACCCCTCATGTGTCTCAGGTTTGGTTTTACAGTGTGAGGTGTACAGTGATGGTTCTCAATCCTGGTCCTCAAGGACCCCTATTCTGTATGTTTTGTTTCCCTGCTCTTCAGTAAGTCTTTGACTCTGCAGAAGCAAAATCACTCATTCAGTTAAATCAGGTGTGCCAACTCTAACATGCAGAATAGAGGTTCTTGAGGACCAGGATTGAGAACCGCTGGTGAACAGCCACATGGCAAAGACAACACACCACAAACAGATTTCACTCACAAACATTCAGATGTAAAATCTCTCGAAACCTCTCAAGATTAACAGTGAGTTCAGAGTAAACAAACATGGCTGACGAGGAAGAAGCTATGGCGATAGTTTATGGATTATTTTTAACAAGAAAAAAAAAACGAAACAGAAAGACATGTTTGACATCCACCAGATTTTCTGGTGATGTATGGGAGTTGTTTGGTCTTCTGTATTTTGGATTTCCCTCTGTGTTTCCATCGCCACATCACCTTAACAGGCTGCGAGCTCGTTTGTCCTCAGGGAAACACCACGCAGGCTGGGATATCGAGCCAAGACAACATGTTGAATATCCCCGAGATTGGAGTGGCCCCAACGTCCTTCTAGGGCTGCACCTAAATATTATTTTGATATTTAAATCTTTTTTTTTCTCGATTAGTCATTGTTATTTCTGTCAAAACGTCCATCTATGCTTCCTGTTGGCGAACCCACTGTTCCAGTTCCAGTGTGCGTTTCATCTCACCTGCTCACAGTCCATCCTGTTTGAAGTCTATAAGTTCAAATTAAACTTCAACGCAAAAAAAAGACAACACTGGGTAGACTACTACTAACAATCGTTGATTTACTATGATGGCACTTAAATATTTAGTTAACATTGACTTAACTTCCAAGAAACACTGTTTTCTGGTGTTTTCTAATGGTAAACTAGCAATAATTATAGTTGGCTCGAGCATAGTGCTGGGCAGTATGACCAAAATTTTATACCATGGTATTTTCAACATTTACACCGGTTTCATGGTATATCACGGAATTTTTCTTTTCATCACAGGCCAGCCAGCTGATAATAAAATGTACAAACACTGCTTATTAACTTTTTTCTTTTACTGTACCTCTGTCTGTGTCGCTGTTTTTTTCCTCTAAACGTCTTTTCTCTGACTGGTGGTTGGAGACAGTAGTCACGCATTTTGGTCGTGAAGGAGGAGGGTTAAGAAAAGATTATTATCGGGTCTATTGTTTTATGTATGTTATTTAATAAAACTTATCAGGACGACTCACCTTGCACATCCACTACAAAACTACTTCCCCAGGGTTTTTTCACAATAGAAGCACGTTAAACTAGTCTCCATGCGTCTCCACGTCTCCATATTAACGTTGCGTGTTATGTCTAACTGTGCACGTCACTGAAGATGTGTTTACTACATTCAACGATGGCRAAAATGGGATGTTTTTTTTCCAAAGTCAGCCAATTTAAGCAGCAGAATCACCACCCGCCGCTGCAACAATAACATTAGCTTGCTAATGCACATAGTGGTGCTGCAAATAAAAGCGTCCTTCGGGAAACAGTTCACTGGCGGCCGCGAGGAAACGTTCCGAATGTGTTCAAGCTATTTAAACTGATACATCGGTATTCAGAAAATTCATATAACAAAAATAAAAAACGGTATTCGGTATGAACCGGTATACCGCCCAGCACTACTCAAGCACAGMGTGATCAGAATGTTTGCGTTTCAGGTGTTCATGTTTTTATTGCCATTATGCTGCCATGGAATGACCGGGTCAGCATTTTACTATATCTGGTTTATTTTCTGTAAAATGTAACCCACTTTTGAAAGTTTAAGTCGTGTTTTTTTTATTTTTTTTGCATTTTTGACATGACCGTCCTTTTTTTAAGAGTCATGATAATTATAGTATCCTCAAGGTTGCCAGAAGGGCAAAATCGGGCCTAAAATCAGCTTAATTGCCTTGCCATGTGAACCAGGCATAATTTTCACTGTTATTACCCACTTTTCATGTTTTCTATTAATATCTCGTATTATGCGGCTGCCCTGACACAATGTGCATCTGTCGTTCCAGTTTCTGCAAGACACTTTGGATGCTCTCTTCAACATCATGATGGAAAACTCTGACAGTGACACTTTTGACACTTTGGTGTTTGATGCGTTGGTAAGCCATGGTCGCACATGTAGGAGCAGAATGCGGTTCATGTCAAGTAATTCTATTGTTAGAGAGAAAAACATGACTGTTGTAGCCCAAATACAAAGAATAAATGTTGGTAGTTATTTTTTTTACATCCCTGTATTACAAGAAATGAATTTTGATCTCAAATCTGTTCTTTGGCCGTTACCAGTTTTCAGTCCAACTGCTGCTCAAAAGTGTAAAGGAAAATGTCATATTTATTACTCAGGTAGAAGTATGGATATTAGGGTTTGAAAGACTTGAAGTAGAAGTATTTAATCAAGCTTTACTCAATACTCAAATAAAATTATAAACGTATTAGTTTTAAAACTAAAAGTATAAAAGTAATAAAAACAAGAAAAAAAAACATTAGGGGTAAAATACACTCACCGGCCACTTTATTAGGTACACCACGCTAGTAACGGGTTGGACCCCCTTTTGCCTTCAGAACTGCCTCAATTCTTCGTGGCA